TCTATATACTTTCCTTTCTCTGGTACACAGTCCCCCTGGGTGTTTTAGTTTCCCAGGACTGCCGTAGTAAATAAGTACCACACCCTGAATTTACAACCGACACTTACTCTTGCCCCGTCTGGAGGCGAGAGGTCCGAAATCAAGGTGTCATTGGGGTTAGTCCTTGCTGAGAGTGAATCTGTCCGGGGCCCGCACCCGGCTCCTGGGGCCGCGGGCGTACCGTGACTTGTAGATGGCATTCTCCCTGTGTATTTACATCTCCAAATGTCCCCTTTTAGTGGACGCCAGTCATACTGGATGAGGGTCCGCACTAATGACCTCATCTTAAGCTGGCCTTCTGCAAAGATCTTATTTCCAAATAAGGTCCCAATCACGGGTACTGGAGGTTAGGACTTCAACATCTTTTGGGGGGACACAGTTGAGCCCATAGCACGGGTAAATGGCTCAGATCGTTCTGCAGAAGGCTTGGGGAAGGTTCATCATAGGCATTTGTGGCCCCGATGTAAGGCCCTTCCTCAATGGGACCTGGCCTCCCTTTCTGTTGAGGCGGGAGGAGCCGTGGCACTTGTGAAGGATGCTGGTGGTCCCTCACTGAGGCATTTCTGAACCTCTGAGTGATGGGATCACACTCCGGCCATTCCCAGTGTGGCTGAGAAGGGTGAGCATGACAGATCCACTCTGGTGCCAAAGCCTCCTCGAGCCTGAGACCCCAACCCCTGCTGCAGCACCAGGCTTCCCACATCTTCTGTGCACGTGAAGCACCTGGGAACTTTCCAGAATGCATTTTGACTTCATGAAGTCTGTGAGGGAGCAGACTGCCTTGAGTAGCGAGGCTGCCATGTATTGGGACACTCTGGCATGTCCGCTGCATGAGCCATTGGCCACCGCCAAATGCAGGGCTCCGTCCCGCCCGCAAGATGGTCACAGCCTCCCCTGTGCTTGTGCTGGTGCACCTGTCCCGCACGCTGGGTGGGTGTGAGGACATCAGTCCTCTGAGCTGGGTCCTTCATTCTCCAGGGCCTAACTGCCTGCCTCCACTCTCGACACCCCCAGGCTCCTCCGGGGCGCAGGCTCTCTCCCAGCAACCTTGGGCTGGGAGGGGTCTAACCTGACGCACCTGGAAGCCACGTCAGGAGTGGCCCTGAGGAGGGTGGCACCCTGCCTGCGCTCTGTGAGCTGTGCTCGGTCAGTGGTCCGCGGAAGCTTTGTGGGTAGGAGAGCTGCCCCTCCCACAGACGACCGGGGGTTGCCTCTGCTGCTGGAGAAGATCCAGGGCTGGTTCAGGGTTCAAAGTTCCCAGCATCACGTTCCTGCCCAGAACGTCCCAGCTGCGTGTCTCATGGCTCACGGCTACCAGGATCTTGGTGTAAGGGAGCTGGAGTGGCTGATGGTTAGCTGTGGCTGCCTGGCCAGGAGAGGGCCGTCCACCCCGGCTGCCCCGGCCTGCGCTGCGGCTCTGGGAACTGGGCCACCCATTCTCAGGGGGCCCGCCCTTCCCCCCCCCGCCACCCGCCGCCGCCACCCTCCGTCCTCTCCTTTTCCATTCCGTGCAGGGCTGACCCCAAATCTTGATCACATGACCTCACTCCATGTCACCTCCCCGTTAAGCTGAGACGCTATGACACCGCCCCCTGCCGTGGCCACCAGTGCCCAATTCCTGACCAGCAGACGTGCTCGAGGGGCCAACCTCAGGGGCTCATTTCCACGGTGCGTGAGGTGGTGGGGTCACCATGGTAGCAATTTCTGTGTCACTCAGAGGCCTGGCGGGAAGCAGGCCTGTCCCCCTCTGGGTGATTCCGGGTGGGTGAAATGGAGAGACTGTTGACTTCTCAGTGGGGGCAGCACACCCCTCAGCCTGGAGGAGTGTGGAGAGGGGTCCGCACAGGAGCCTGGACAAGACTGCCATGAGCAGAAGGCTGGACATGGGGATGCGGCCATGCAAGGTGACCCCACAGGGAGGGACCTGGGAGATAAAACCCCAAGCTCACCTCCTCCTGAGTACAGCTCATAGCAGCCAGAAGCCAGAGAACGGGAGGCGGTGGACAGGGCCCAGAGAGGGTGGTGAAGGCAGACGGGAGAAACCAGCCCCTGCATCGCACCCTCACCCCTGTACTGAGGAGCATGGTGCTGGGGTGGGAGACCTATCAGGCCAAGCCAGAGCTGCGGTGTGACCCTGGGGGAGGGGTCCTCAACAAGGGGTCCCGCCGTGGCTGTGGGGCCCGAACGGCGAGCATTGCATTAGATTGGGGCATCTTGGGGTCAGGCGCTTCATTTTCCAGAATCTTGCACCACATGACTTGACTCGTTAGCAGGTTAGCCCTCAACCCAGAGCATTTTCTGCTTCACTAGACTGCCGTTTAAAACCAACCAACCAGGGGCGCCTGGGTGGCTCCATTGGTTAAGCACCAGACCAAGGGTGCTTAGCAGTCCCCACGGAGCAGGAGGTCACTGCAAACACACATGGAATGACAGGACAGACACCCGTGGATCCGAGTCTCCCCCCCAATAGATGCTGACCTCCCCACCACACTTCCTTCAGATTTCCTTCCGTGAAATAGAACATGATGCCCACGTTGGTGGCCCTTGGTGCCCTCCCTGATCCATGTCACTGTCCCCACTTCCCAGATGCGCCCATTACACGCAGGTCAGCAGCCTCCCCCATGTCACCGGGCAACCTTAGCTCATGGGCTGCAGCTCTCACAGTTCCGCCCGGCTCCACGCACCGGAAACCTGCGGCAAGCCCGACATCGGGCTGCGAGCGCCCTTCCCATCAGCTTCGCTGCCAGTACTCACTCATTTCCATTCATTCATTCATTCATTCATTCATTCATTCCCATGTTCTGCAGGGTCGTGATGCACACATGTGCCTTACACTCTTCCCCCTTTTCCTTCTCCATACACACTTATGAACACTCACACTGCTTCCCCCTTCCTTCCTTCCTTTCTTCCTTCCTCCTTTCTTTCCCTCCTTACTTCCTCATTCTTCCTTTTTTTCAGCTTCTCCATTTCTCCTTTTCTTCTTTTTTTTTTTTTTATTAAAGGTATCACGGGCAATGCTGCAAAGACCATCCTTGTCTCCGCTTCCCTCTGCCTAAGTGTGGGGTTTATCCGGGACACACGCCAGACCCAGAACCAGTGGAACTGCTGGATTGTAAGTTTATGTAGCATCAACTCCACTGACCGTCACACACTTTTCTTCCAAATTGTTGTGCAATTTGCAATTCCGTGTCTGAGAGCTCCCCTTTCGCTCTGAGAAATTAGGGGTGGTTTTCCGTGACCATGAGCATCACTGCAGATCCAGCACACCCCCACACACTGTTTCTGGCAAACTGAACCACCTCCACGGAGGACTCTGTGCCCTAACCCTGCCCCCCGCCCCCGGGTCCTGCACATCGAGCCTCTTCTGGAGACCCCACTGGACAGCTCGGGGTGGGGGGTGCTGGGCTCAGGGTGGAGGGCACAAAGAATGTGGCACCCCCAGTTCTGACTGGGGCTCCCTTCCCAGAGGGGCTGCCAGGACTGATTCACCAGGTCACTTAGAAAAGTAAGCACCTCTCCAAGGCAAATTCTCAGAGCCTCATTGTTCATTGAGGAAAAAATATTTCTCCTGTTGCTCATTCATTCATTCGTTGATTCATTCATTCCTCAACAGATGTTTATTGAATAAGATAAGAACGATTATAGGTGCAGGGCCACCAGAAGGCACAGAGCAGACGAAGCCCCCTGCCCTCACCGACCTTCCGCTCTCCTGGGGGACAGGCGTGCTCCACGTGGTGTGGCAGCAGGCCACCCCATGCACTGGGGACAGCAAGGGCTCAGAGAACAGAACTGGACCTGATGGGGCCAGGGGAGGGCTGGCCCAAGGTTACCCTTGAAGCACAAGGTTGAGGAGCCTTACTGTGGGGCCTGAAACAGGGAGAGGGGTCCCCGGAGGCACGAGCACTCCCGCTCGGTCAGTTCAGACGGTTGCTCGTATATATACAGCTTCATTTTTGAAAGGACTGTGCTGTAGAGGGAAAGAGAAAAACAGAAAAATTAATTTAAGTAAATAAGTTGAAATACACAATTCCTCTAGGTAGGATGTTGGACACTTTCATGTTTTCTTTTTTTTTCCTTTTTTTTTTTAGGGGGGGTGGGGAGGAGCAGAGGGAGAAAGAATCTCAAGCAGACTCCCCGCTGAGCGCAGAGCCCAATGCGGGGCTTGATTCCACAACCCCAAGATCACGACCTGAGCCGAAACTAAGAGTCAGATGCATAACTGATGGACCCACCCAGGCGCCCCCATTCTTGAGTTTTCAATGTCAGTGCCAACTGGAGGGAGAACCCCTCCGGATGAGCCATGTTGCCTCCGTGAGGCACATTGGCTGACCTACGACGTGGCCGTGGGAATGCCCAACAGACGGAACTCCCGGAAAAGATGAAGTTTGCAGTCTGAGGGCCCGGGGCCGACGGGGAGGGGGTGCGGGCCTGTTCCTTTCCTGACCCTCTTGTGCGGCCACGGCCCTCCCCCAGACCTGGGTTCTCAAAATAGTCGAAGGCCACTGGCCTGCCACCCTTGACAGGACAGCCTGGTGGGCGGGCCCCATCGGCTCCAAGTCGGACCGCCGTGGAGGGCGACCCCATGAGCCACTGTTGACACAACTGTGCCTTCTGGGGCCGGCTCTCCCATGAGTCACCCTTCTGTGAGTGTAATGTTGACATCTGCAGGAGGGCCTCCACTGCGGTTAGCGATCTGGTCAGGCCCAAGGGACAGGAGAGACTTTCTGAACCTCGAGTCCTTCATTCAGGATGATTACGCACCTTGGCACTTGCCCCATCAGCAAACTTGTTTTAATCAGTGGAGATTACCTAGAATGGAGGACTGGGGGATCCCTCCTTGGGCAAATGTTACCCAACACTCTTTAGGCAAACAGAGCCTGTGCATAAAATGTAGGGCCTGCACAGGGTCCCATCGCTGACTCGTGGTCTCCCCTGGAGCAGAGAGGAAGGTCACAGCCGCCATGGAGCCCAGGGTGATCTGCGTCTTGATGTTGGTGTGCGTGCTGACCCTCAGCTCCCTGGCCCGGGGCGAGCTTGGTAAGCGGCCCCCCTCCCGCATCAGCCCTCGGGGTGGTGCCTGAGCCACAGACCATGTGTTTGAGCTGAGCGCCATGCTGGGCCCTGGGAGGATTTGGGAGGGTGAAGGCCCATGGAGGGCAGCATCCGGGCCACGGCCATGGAAGCTCTGAGCACCGCTGTGAGCACGTGGGCGCCCTGATCACTGCTTGCTGCGTCCGGCACTGACGCCCCGAGCACCGGCTCTCAAGGGGGGGGTCTCGGAGATGCGGTGGGAGAACAGCTCCCCAGATGTCCAAGCCGGCCTCTGGTCAAAGCCACCCAGATGCCCAAGGGCCCATTCCATGGACGAGCATCCCCTGAGGACCCCCGCAGGCTCTGCGGTCCTGGTGTGCGGGTTCCGTGGGCACCACAAGCGACAGAGTGCCTGGCTCCCTTGAGCCACCATCTCAGCCCCTGGACCAGGACGTCGGCCTCAAGGGGCTCGGGGGTGGGACAAGGCCTTCAGAGAGGGCTTTGCGAGCTACCCTGTGCTCAATAAGTGTTATTTTCATTAGACGCTGTTGTAAAGTTTCCCAGGTTTTCAAAACCAGGATATCCATAGAGGTCTGAGGAGGGGAAGAGGAACCATGGTTTCTGTGCATCTCAGGGTACCTTCCGAGGACCCGATGAAGAACAACAAAGAAAGGGGTGTGGGCAGAGGGATGACGGAGGCACCAGGTGGCCACTTGGAAGGTCCCCAAGGCAGGGACAGGCTAAGGCCAGAAAGGACACGCGGGCTTTGGGCCTGGAGAAGGCGCGGCTCTGCCGTGGAGGATGCCGGGAGCGTGGCCACGTGGCCGCCCCCAGGCCGGGCTGTGAACCCCTCCCGCTGCCGACCCTGCTCGGCCCTCGGGCCCGAGGCTCACCCCTTCTCTGTGCATCAGCAATCCTGTCACGAGGCATCCAGAAACTCGATTGCAAACACAGCCCCGGTAGAGACCGTTCCCGCCTAGGTCCGTCCTGTGCTGGTAAATGGGTGGACAGAGCAAGGAAACCTGGAACCCCATCCCACCCCAGCTGCCGCTTCCGCCCCCGGCAGGTGGGCAGGACACAGAGCCGTGTCTGAGTGTGCGCAAGCACACACGCACGCACACGTGCCCACACAGCTCCTCCTGACTTCACAACCGCCCTGGGGGTGGGGGACGCCACCTTCCCTCTCCGCCGGGGAGCCAGACGCGGGGAGGCCGAAGTCCTGCAGAGGCCCCCCAGCCAGTGGGTGGGAGATGGGCCAGACCCTTCCCGCGAAGCCACAGACCCCTCCTTCAGAGAAAGCTTGAGGCGATCCGTGGAGGAGAACACAGAAGCCCGCGGAGGGCAGCTCCCGCGTGGGCTCACCTTCTCAAGGCCTGGCTGGGTTAACGGGGTTCAGCCCCTTCAGTTCCCACGTGTAGACCACACGGCAGCCCTGCCTCCCCAGCGTGTCTCCCCCCAACCCGCGTGTTCTCCACCATCCTGGTTCCCATCTCCCCCCCCCCGACCCCCGGGCTAAAGCCGCTAAGAGGTTGAAGGCATCCACCCCACCCCAGCCTCTTTGTCTTTCTTGCAAACGGACTACACCTCCTAAAACACACCTTGCTC